CAGCTCACTGATGCTCTCTGTTTGTTTGTTCTGAGTCTCTTTTATCTCCTTGTATAGCTTCTATTGCTGTGTCTTCAGGTTCACTAAACTTTTCTTCTGGAATGTTTAATTTTCCATTAATCCCATCCAGTGTATTTTTCATTTCAGGTATTATAATTTTCATCTCTATAAATTCAGTTTAGATCCTTTTTATATCTTCTACACCTCTTTTTAACATGGTCAATTTTTCCTCTAGTTTTTGGACATAAAGAATACAGTTATTATAACTGTTTTAATGTCCTTGTCTGATAATTCTAACATCTGTGCCTTTCTGAGTCAATTTTTATTTGTTGATTTCTCTTCTCACTATGAATTCTATTCTCCTATTCCCATGCATGGCAATTTTTTGACTGGATGCATTGTGAATTTTACTTTGTTAAATGCTGGATATTTTTGTATTCTTATAAATAATCTTGAATTCTTTTCTGGGAGCAGTTAAGTTTCTTGGAATAGGCCTGATATTTTTTAAGGTCTCCCTTTTACAATTTGTTAGGCAGACCAGCTCAGCATTTAGTCTAGGGCTAATTATTCCCTACAATTCATGCAAGACCCTTTTGAGAACTTTACCCAGTCCCTGTGAATTGTTGGCTTTCCAGTCTGGCTGGTGAGAACGGACATTATTATTGACCTCATGTAAGTATTTGGTACTCTTATCTCTAGTCTTTTCAGATCCATCTCCCTGGCTCTAGGTCGTTTCCCCACATATATGCGTGGGTCACATATACTTCAGTGGGGATTCTTTGCAGATATCCAACACCCTTTCTCTGGGCAGCTCTCTCCTGAGAACACTCAGCTGTGAATTCTAGCTGCATAGATCTCTCTGGACTCTTAGCAAGGTTTCCTCGACTCAGAGTCTGCCAAACTCCACCTGGGCTCCCACTCCACCATAGCCTTAAATCTATTTCAAGGTACTAAGTTAGAGTAATGATGGGGGTTCCCTTGTTTGTCTCTTATCTCTAGGAAATCACTGTCCTTCTCTGCCTGATGTCCAGAGTCTTGAAACCATTGTTTTCTCTCTTTTCTCCAGTGTTTTAGTTGTTTCAGAAAGGAGGGTGAATCTGGTTCCTATTAGTCCACCTAAGTCAAATACAGACATGTTGGACTTTGTGTTTAGCTCTCAGTTCTTGAAGGTGGAGGGGTTGTATCAGTTCTCAATTCCTGGCTATATGAACTTGACAAATTATCTGACTTCTCCGAGTCTTATTTTTTTCTATGTGCAAATGGGAATAATAATGTTAGAGTGATTAAGATTACGTTGATGAAAAGCATTCAGCACAAGGCTTGACATATAGTAAACATGTTAATAATGGAGACTATTTTTATTATCTAGATTAAGGGTTTAAATCAGATGATCTTTGCAGGCTATTCTGATCTAAAATTTTATGAATTTATTAATTAAATTTTGGAAATTATTAATACATAGCACAATTTAAAGAATTAAAGTGTACCCTCAATATTCATTTTAGCCATATATTTATTATACATAAGGGAAAATTGATACTTTTTAAAACAACAACTTTATTCCTGTAAAATTTTATTTTATAAGTTGTTTTTTATAAATTTGATTAACAGCACACTGAAATACATTAGGAATTACTAGGTCATTTGTCTCTTCTATTTTAAAGAAGAATTTGAGATTTTCTTTGCCTCTCCCTTTAATGCTGGACTTGATTATTTCTTGAAGTGAACTTTTTCTCCCATTCACTTATTGAGGAAGTAAGGTTTTGTTTGTTTTAATTATTGGTTTCTACAAGCTCTATGTATTGTTTAAAATGAGGTCAATAGTATAATTGAAAATGTCCCATAATGTGATGTTTTAGTAATAATCCAAGAAAATATTTGATTGGAATTTGTTTAGGGCACTACAAAGTGATAGGCAGTAAGTGACTATCACTTATTGTAAGCAGTTTGGCTGTAGGAAGTTTTTTAATTACAACATTTTAACTGAAAAGTACCAACACTGCATTTGGAACCAATTTAAAATGTTCAGCCTGCACATTAATTTGCTTTCTTGACATCAAAGCAATACTTGAAATAAACAAAAATCCATGACAATTAGTAAATACTCAGTTATTTTAAAATGTGCCATCCTTGTTGCGTAGCAACTATTGATTCTATTATGTGCTTTTTACATACTCTAAAATAATTAAGCACAGGAGTAAATTGCTATCTACTTGTTTTTGAATGTTAAAAGCATTTAAGTTATGAAGTTTATTCTAATATGTGTATTATATATTTGTAAAGGGAACATTTCATTCCTACGCAAAGGCACAGTGACCCAAGAAAGAGATGACAATGTCATATTAGTGATTCTTCTTTCTCATGAGAGGACTTTCAGGGAACTTTTTATTCATAGTCTCGATAACTAACACAGCCAAGGGTAATTATCATTCATCGGCTTTACTGGCCTGGATCCTGATTTACTGCTAAACTAAATGATAAAATTTATTAACAAAAAGTCGTGTCCTCTCAAAAAATGAAATATCCATTTATATTATAGAAAATTATATGAGCCAAATACATCTATGATGTAATTAATTTATTAGAAAGATATCCATGATCTTAATAAGAATAAGAACCTTATATAGATTTATTTTCATCAACAAATGAACTCAGCATAAAGCAAGAGCATGCACTTCTGTGGTCAGATGCTAACACTAACTCAGTCTACGAGCTGTGTTAGCACTTCAGGCGCAGGGCCGCTGAGCAGCAGTACTAGACTGGATCATAAGTGCTGAGACCTCTTCTCCACTGGATGAACATCTGAAGGATGTTGGTGATGTGTGAGCATGGAGACGAGGAACTTCTACATAAGCAAAGGCAGGAAAGTTCACTCTCTCAGTCGAAGAGGAACTAAGGAGTTTGAGGGAAAGATCTGTGAATCTCTACAAACATTACTTCCATCAGTGAAATTTCTTTCTTTATTTCTTTTTTAATGTCTATCTATTTATTTACTTGGCTGTGTGGAGTGTCAGTTGTGGCATGTAAACTCTTAGTTGCAGCATGTGGGATCTAGTTCCCTAACCAGGGATCGAACCCGGGCCCCTCATTGGGAGTGTGAAATCCTAGTCATTGGACTACCGGGGAAGTCTCTACCAGTGAAATTTCTGACTCACAAGATGGGACCAAAAAGAAAAGGATGAAATGTTTATAATATCTCTTTATACATATAGTCAGGGAATTCCAGGTAGCTCAATGGTAAAGAATCCGCCTGCCAATGCAGGAGACACAGGTTCGATTCCTGGGTTGGGAAGATCCCCTGGAGGAGGAAATGACAACCCACTCCAGTATTATTGCCTGGAGGATCCCATGGACAGAGGAGTCTGGCGGGTTACAGTCCATGGCGTTGCAAAGAGTCAGACATGACTCAGTGACTGAGCGTGCATGCATACATATAGTCAAACTACTCTTCAAAGAGTTGTAATTTCTAGTCCCTTAAAGAGTACGAATGAAAGACTGTCTAATGACCTTCATCACACGACAAAACAGAAGCCATAAAAAAAATCTCTCATTGCTTTAACTTGAATTTTTTTGATTTTTATTAACAGGCAGGCAGATCATCTTTTCACAATTATGAACATGGATTGGTAAGGATATGGGAAGTGAATAAGAACAGATTAGCCAAATGAGGCTAATACTGAGGCTAGTACACTGAGGCTAAAAAATATATTCAAGAACTAGAGGGGTATGGTTTTCAGAGAATGAGGAGAAGAAAAGCATATGCCGCAAAATAAAGTAAGAATGAGACACATAGTCCATACTCTCAAATTTCATTGCTGCCCATACGGAACTGCTGTCATAGTGATCATCTTTGCTGTGGCCCGAATGTGCTACAACACATTCCCAAACAACAAGGGAAGGGACACTGATTTATAGAGGGCCAGACTGGGTGTGACCAACTGTGTGAAGGTTGAAACGAAAGTGACAAATTTAGAACTGACCTGAGCCAGCAACAACACCTAGAGGATTTCATTTGTGGATGGCAGAGTGGGGGATTCCAGGTGGAGATGTTAGTTCGAAAGTGGCCACTGCTTGTTGCTTAGGGTTACAAGTTACAAGGTCTAGTCACCGAGGAGAAGAATCTAATGATAGCCAGTCTGTTGGGACTTCAGTCAAGCTATCTGAATTTCAGTAGCCAGCTCTAGTTCTGATGTATATGTGAGACATTATCAGAAAACCGAGACGGAAGGCTACAGCTAGAATTAGGTACTGGTGGGGGAAGAGACACAGCTGGTCGCAGAGGTTTCAGCGCAGTGTGCATGATGAAGCCAAGGGCTCAGTCAAGACTCTCAGCGGTTTTAACAGGGAGATGATGCTCAGCCTTAGTGACTAGAGCTGTGTAAGGCCTGAGAAAGCAGAGGCTAATAACTTTTAAAGTGTAATTTGTATTCTTTAAAGTTATGAAAGAAATATATACTCACTGCTGAAAATTTGAAAATATAGAAAACTCTGAAGACAAAAATCAAAGAAAAAGTTTTTTACATTCTAAAAGCAAACATTTTCTTTGTAAATAGTGAGCTTAATACTTATTTTACTGCCAAAAGTTCATAACTGAATAATTTTAAGTCACTTTTCATTCTCTTTTATTATCTTCTTAAAGGCAGAGAAACTGTAAGGATGAATTAATATTCCCCTGTTTTTAAGGATATGGTCAAATACAGATTCTGTCATTTTATGGGGAAAAAACAGTAAATAGTTAAAAGTAAAAATTATGCTTTTACGTGAGAACGAAAAGCTATCTTAAACTTACAAGGTTTCAAATTCTAATTTTACCTTTTAATTTCCTACTTGTCTAATATTTTGGAAAAAAACATATATCATAAGCATGTTTGGTCTAGGAAGTTCCAGTAATCAAAGGTGTGCATAGAAGCAAATAAACCTATTTGAAACAGTCTGGCAAATGGACAGAATTTTTAAAAAGCAAATAAGACACAAACTGCTGAAAGTCACATTTTCGTTACCTTCTCCCTCCAGTTATCATCATTCAGCAGCTTCTGTCTAAGGGTTTCCTGCAGCTGCTCGATACTTTTCTGATGTGAAATCAGCATCAACTCCCTGAAAACCATAAACACGACAAATGAGTTGAGACACACCCATAACACTCTTCCTGAATTACAATTCCTGGCTCTGGAGATTATTTCACAACTCAACCTGTTTATTCTTCCCCTTAGAAAAAAACATATGATATTTCATACCATTTTAACTGCTAACAGCAATTTTAAAACACTGGCAACAAGGTCAGGGTTAATTTTTGCTTAATAAGTATTATTATTATTTTTATATGAAACAGCAACCACATATGTAGAGTCACAAATATAATAAAATACTATACATTGTGGTTCCAAAGTTTCTGACTAAATTTTGACACTAGACAATAGATAATATTTTGTTTCTTTAAAAAAGGAAAATATGCTGGGATATGCCACAAAATCAGCACATTTGTGGTTTCGGGTAGATTTATTTTCTTTTCATTTATATCAAGTGCTAACAGGAACAAACTGAATTAAGTAAAGGGTAATGTCTGAGATGTAGCGTAGTATAAAACATCATAGAAAATAGGAGAGAAAACACAAAGAACACTTTAATCTTTTAATCCAGGTAATTGGATCTTAAAGCTAAGTTTGTGACCCTCTGAGTGGAAGCAAGTGTGAGAGATTTATGAGAACATTCACAGGGGCACTGAAATTAAGCCTTTAAATATTATACTTCAGTTCAGTCGCTCAGTAGTGTCTGACTCTTTGCGACCCCATGGATTTGCAGCACACCAGGCTTCCCTGTCCATCACCAGCTCCTGGAGCTTGCTCAAACTCATGTCCATTGCTTCGGTGATGCCATCTAACCATATCATCCTCTGTCGTCCCCTTCTCCTCCTGCCTTCAATCTTTCCCAGCATCAGGGTCTTTTCTAATGACCCAGTTCTTCACTTCAGGTGGCTAAAGTATTGAAGTTTCAGCTTTAACATCAGTCCCTCCAATGAATATTCAGGACTGATTTCCTTTAGGATGGACTGGTTGGATCTCCTTGCAGTCCAAGGGACTCTCAAGAGTCTTCTCCAACACCACAGTTCTAAAGCATCAATTCTTTGCCACTCAGCTTTCTTTATAGTCCAACTCTCAAATCCATACATGATTACTGGATAAACCATAGCTTTGACTAGACGGACCTTTGTTGGCAAAGTAATGTCCCTGCTTTTTAATATGCTGTCTAGGTTGGTCATAGCTTTTCTTCCAAGGAGAAAGCGTACTTTTAATTTCATGGCTGCAGTCACCATCTGCAGTGATTTTGGAGCCCCCAAAAGTAAAGTCTCTCACTGTTTCCATTGTTTCCACATCTATTTGCCATGAAGTGATAGGACCAGATGCCATGATCTTAGTTTTTTGAACATTGAGTTTTAAGCCGGTTTTTTTCACTTTCCTCTTTCACTTTCATCAAGGGGCTCTTTAGTACTTCTTTGTTTTCTGCCATAAGGGTGGTGTCATCTGCATATCTGAGGTTATTGATATTTCTCCTGGCAATTTTGATTCCAGCTTGTGCTTCATTCAGCCTTTCATTTCACATGATGTACTCTGCATATAAGTTCAATAAGCAGGGTGACAATATGCAGCCTTGACGTGCTCCTTTCCCGATTTCGAACCAGTCTGTTGTTCCATGTCCAGTAACTGTTGCTTCTTGACCTGCATACAGATTTCTCAGGAGGCAAGTCAGGTGGTCTGGTATTCCCATCTCTTTAAGAATTTTCCACAGTTTTTTGTGATCCACGCAAAGGCTTTGGCATAGTCAATAAAGCAATATTAGATGTTTTTGTGGAACTCACTCGTTTTTTTGATGACCCAACCCGCCTGTGGCTCAGTTGGTAAAGAATCCGCCTGCAATGCAGGAGACCTGGGTTCAATTCCTGAGTTGGGAAGATCCCCTGGAGAAGGGAAAGGCTACTCAGTCCAGTATATAATATTATACCACAAGTTGTGGCAAAAGCATGCCTTTTGATCAGGGAGCCCCCACCCCCTTCTATAATCACCATAACCCTTCTTATTTTCTATGTAAGTAAGTGATTCTTCTCCATTGCTTATTCCTCTTTCTAATCCCTTTGTTTTTCATCATCATCCTCTTTCTCAGATTTGTGATTTTCAATTATAACTTTCTGTTAAACATCTCCACTGTGATGAACCACCAACACTAAAGATTCCACATGTCAAAAAAGAAATTAATCATCATCTCCCACAATGTTGCCTTTCCTTTGGACTTCTGAAAGCTTCAACAATCAAAATCTTTAGCATGAAATCCCTGAGTCATCGCTGACTCTTCCTTCTGCTTGTTCTACCGCATCCATTGAGTGTGTGTGTGTGTGTTAACTGCTCAGTCACATCTGACTCTTTGCAAGCGCATGGACTATAGCCCACCAGGCTACCCTGTCCATGGGATTCTCCGGGCAAGAACACTGGAGTGGGTAGCCATGTCCTCTCCAGGGGCCTTCCTGACCCCGGGACTGAGCCCCAGTCTCCTGCCCTGCAGGCAGACTCTTCACCGCCGGAGCACCAGGGAGGCCCTTCCACTCAGTAACAAGTTCTAGGTATCCTGCTCCGTGGTGTCCCTCAGACTATTTCCTGCCTTCCCTTGGGACTACCAACAGTTAAGGTTGCTGACTTCATTTCCCAGCTAGAGTTGTGATAGATTGTCAATCTACTGCTTGATCTCTATTCTTGCCTCAGTTTTAGAATATTATTAAACATTTTTTAATAAAAATAGTGCCTACATTTCTAGGCTAGAAAATTTTGAGGTCACAAAGACAGCTGGACTTGGTAACCAGGATTATGAATATTATTTGAGTGACGATGATTGAAAAAGGTAAAACCCCTTAGACTTCTTTTTAGAAATGTGTCAGACTAGGTACCTTGACAACTTTTCTACTGAAAATAAGTGTTTTTTTCACTTATTAAAAAAAAAAGTCTTAAAATTCATTAGTGACCTGGACCAAAAGTTAGGAAGATGAAGGACACACAAATCAAGAAAAAGAACAGGAAAAGGTTATCGGTGGAAAACCAGTGAAATGTGAATAAAGTCTGTAGGTTAGTTAATTGTATTATACCCATATTAACGTCTTAGTTTTTACAGATGTGCCATAGTTATAAAAAATGGGCCAAAGGAAACAAATCCTTTTACTGTCTTTGTTAACTTTTCTGTAAATACAAAATTACTCCAAACTTCATTAAAAAAAAAAATGAAAGGAAAGGAATAACTCCAACAATAAGTTGAAAGTTAAAGCCAACTCTCACCTTGAAGGTACTTTCCAAATATGATGCACTTGAGCATTAAATTTCACAGCCATGAAAGGCACTGGGGTCAGGAGAGAAAGGAAGAGCTTGAGAGGAAACTTATCTGCATAAACTTGTATCTCAAAGAGCAACACATGCAGTATGTCATTTCTGTCATACTGTCTGTCAGAATATGAAATTCACACCCAGTATGTTCCAAATACAAAAACATCTCCTGCCAAGGAACAAAACCCAAATTTCTAGCTTGATTTTGGTGCTAGGTGGAGGGGAAAATACAAACCTCCCACAAGAATTTGTAAACTCAAGACAATACTAATGCAGATTTTTATCCTGAACTCACACTACCTGAGTGTCCCAAAAAGCTTCAAATTGAGGAGATATCACAAAATGGTGCTAGGATAACCTTGCCTCCAGATGCCTGGTAGGAAAAACATCAACATTTTGGGGAGAAACCAACTTAAATCTGAAACTCACAGAATTCCTACAGATTAAAATTCAAGACCCATGAGATCATAATTTTAAAATTCACAAATTTACTTTTTAAAAAGCCAGTAAGAGGAAGAATGAGCAGACACAAATGATAGCATAATCAAAGTCACAAATTCTAAAGTATTTTCAGATATAGAATGTAAAATAAGGATATTTAGTATGCTAGAAGAAATGAAAGATTAACTTAAATGACCAATGAAATATGAAAAGAACCAATTGAATTTGTAGAAATAAAACATAATAATTGAGATGAAAAACACAATAGATGATCCTATAGCAGATTCAATTCAGTCATGTTCAACTTGCTCAGTCATGTTCAGCTCTTTGCGACCCCATGAATCTCAGTACGCCAGGCCTCCCTGTCCATCACCAACTCCCGGAGTCCACCCAAATCCACATCCATTGTGTCAGTGATGCCATCCAACCATCCCATCCTCTGTTGTCCCCTTCTCCTCCTTCCCTCAATCTTTCCCAGCATCAGGGTCTTTCAAATGAGTCAGCTCTCCACATAAGGTGGCCAAAGTATTGGAGTTTCAGCTTCAACATTAGTCCCTCCAAAGAACAGCCAGGACTGATCTCTTTTAGGATGGACTGGTTGAATCTCCTTGCAGTCCAAGGGACTCTCGAGTCTTCTCCAACATCACAGTTCAAAAGCATCAATTCTTCAGCACTAAGCTTTCTTTACAGTCCAACTCTCACATCCATACACGACTACTGGAAAAACCATAGCCTTGACTAGACGGGCCTTTGTTGACAAAGTAATGTCTCAGCTTTTCAATATGCTGTCTAGGTTGGTCAAAACTGTCCTTCCAAGGAGTAAGTGTCTTTTAATTTCATGGCTGCAGTCACCATCTGCAATGATTTTGGAGCCCCCCAAAATGAAGTCAGCCATTATTTCCACTGTTTCCCCATCTATTTGCCATGAAGTGATGGGACCAGATGCCATGATCTTAGTTTTCTGAATGTTGGAGCCAACTTTTTCACTCTCCTCTTTCACTTTCATTAAGAGGCTCTTCAGTTCTTCTTCACTTTCTGCCATAAGAGTGGTGTCATCTGCATATCTGAGGTTATTGATATTTCTCCTGGCAATCTTGATTCCAGCTTGTGCTTCATCAGCCCAGCGTTTCTCATGATGTACTCTGCATATAAGTTAAATAAGCAGGGTGACAATATATAGCCTTGATGTACTCCTTTTCCTATTTGGAACGAGTCTGTCGTTCTATGTTCAGTTCTAACTGTTGCTTCCTGACCTGCATACAGGTTTCTCAAGAGGCAGGTGAGGTGGTCTGGTAT